TCTTACAGTCTCTAGTTGGGTTATGTTGTCACTCTGGCGCGTGTCTTACAGTCTCTAGTTGGGTTGTGTTGTCGCTCTGGCGCGTGTCTTACAGTCTCTAGTTGGGTTGTGTTGTCGCTCTGGCGCGTGTCTTACAGTCTTTAGTTGGGTTGTGTTGTCGCTCTGGCGCGTGTCTTACAGTCTCTAGTTGGGTTGTGTTGTCGCTCTGGCGCGTGTCTTACAGTCTCTAGTTGGGTTGTGTTGTCGCTCTGGCGCGTGTCTTACAGTCTTTAGTTGGGTTGTGTTGTCGCTCTGGCGCGTGTCTTACAGTCTCTAGTTGGGTTGTGTTGTCGCTCTGGCGCGTGTCTTACAGTCTCTAGTTGGGTTATGTTGTCACTCTGGCGCGTGTCTTACAGTCTTTAGTTGGGTTATGTTGTCGCTCTGCCGTGATGTCCTACAGTCTCTAGTTTGGTTATGTTGTTGCTCTGACGTCGTCTCTTACAGTCTCTAGTTGGGTAATGTTGTCACTCTGGCGCGTGTCTTACAGTCTCTAGCTGGGTTATGTTGTCGCTCTGACGTCGTCTCTTACAGTCTCTAGCTGGGTTATGTTGTCGCTCTGGCGTCGTGTTTTACGGTCTTTAGTTGGGTTATGCTGTCACTCTTGCGTCGTGTTTTACGGTCTTTAGTTGGGTTATGTTGTCACTCTGGCGTCGTGTCTTACAATCTCCAGTTGGGTTATGTTGTCACTCTGGCGCGTGTCTTACAGTCTCTAGTTGGGTTATGTTGTCACTCTGGCGCGTGTCTTACAGTCTCTAGCTGGGTTCTGTTGTCACTCTGGCGTCGTGTCTTACAGTCTCTAGTTGGGTTATGTTGTCACTCTGGCGTCGTGTCTTACAGTCTCTAGCTGGGTTATGTTGTCACTCTGGCGTCGTGTCTTACAGTCTCTAGTTGGGTTATGTTGTCACTCTGGCGTCGTGTCTTACAGTCTCTAGTTGGGTTATGTTGTCACTCTGGCGTCGTGTCTTACAATCTCCAGTTGGGTTATGTTGTCACTCTGGCGCGTGTCTTACAGTCTCTAGTTGGGTTATGTTGTCACTCTGGCGCGTGTCTTACAGTCTCTAGCTGGGTTATGTTGTCACTCTGGCGTCGTGTCTTACAGTCTCTAGTTGGGTTATGTTGTCACTCTGGCGTCGTGTCTTACAGTCTCTAGCTGGGTTATGTTGTCACTCTGGCGTCGTGTCTTACAGTCTCTAGTTGGGTTATGTTGTCACTCTGGCGAGTGTCTTACAGTCTCTAGTTGGGTTATGTTGTCACTCTGGCGCGTGTCTTACAGTCTTTAGTTGGGTTATGTTGTCGCTCTGCCGTCATGTCCTACAGTCTCTAGTTGGGTTATGTTGTTGCTCAGGCGTCGTGTCTTTCAGTCTCTAGTTGGGTTATGTTGTCACTCTGGCGTCGTGTCTTACAGTCTCTAGCTTGGTTATGTTGTCACTCTGGCGTCGTGTCTTACAATCTCTAGCTGGGTTATGTTGTCACTCTGGCGTCGTGTTTTACGGTCTTTAGTTTGGTTATGTTGTCACTCTGGCGTCGTGTTTTACGGTCTTTATTTGGGTTATGTTGTCGCCCTGGCGTCGTTTCTTACAGTCCCTAGTTGGGTTATGTTATCGCACTGGCGGCGTGTTTTTCAGTCTCGACGTGATACTGACCACATCACCCATCTTGTGCCAATTGGTCTATAATATATAGGTCTAGCCCTATATGCCCTTTTCGCCTTAAGGCGTGGAAAAGGGTCCTTTACTTTACCATCATTAAAAGTGATAGTCTGCACAGGCTGGGGCCTGTTGATAAAAGTACGAAAGGATGAATCAGTAGGCAGACAAACAGACAGACAAACAGACTTACACGAAAACACCGCAAATACAGTGAAATACTGCAGCCAAAATACGGTCAACGAGACGACTTCTGGATCAACAACAGAAGCGAGGGCACTTGAGTGAAGTCTTCACACACACACACAGAACACACACACACACACACACACACACACACACACACACACTAACACACACCTCCCGGTTGTCCGCTGCTTGATCAATTGGCTAGCGTAGTTGGCTAATTCGGACTACGCGGTGACCGGGTGACGAACTATTTGTGGTCCGGGTTCACGCCCGGGGGTAGGCAGAAAAGCCACATTTCTCCCAGATTTACGGTATTTATCATGGAATCAAGGCCGAAAGGTTGCGATATCCATAGTACCGAGCCTAAGGGGTAACAACTCATGGCTTCTGGATACTTTAAAAAAAAAAAGTGAGGGGCTAGTTTCATGTTCATCCCCAGTAGGTGTCTCCGTAGCAAAGTGGTCAAGCTATTTGCCTCGCGCTCTGAAGGTCGTGGGTTCGTTTCCAACGCCGTTGAGTTCACGAGTGCAATCTTTACGGAGATCTCCGGGGATCGTTGCCTGAGCTATGGAGGTCATGCTCTGTGCGACGCTCTGGGCAGGCAGCTAACTTTTCAGCGGAGACAG